TTGGCTTCCCAAGTAGCTGGGACAACAGGTGCACACCACCATGCCCGGCTAATCTTAGTATTTTTAGTAGAGATGGTGTTTCACCATGTTGGCCGGGCTGGTCTCGAACTCCTGATCTCAAGTGATCCACCTGTCTCAGCCTCCCAAAGTGCTGGGATTATAGGCGTGAGCCACCGCACCTGGCCTCCATTCACCTTTTGAGGGGCATCTTGGTTGCTTCCAGTTTTTGGCAATCATGAATAAAGCTGCTATAAACATTCATGTACAGGTCTTTACATGGTCATGTTTTCAACCCCTTTAGTTAAATACAAGGAGAGTGACTGCAGCACTGTATGGTAAGAGTATGTTGAGCTTTTTAAGAAACTGCCAAACTGTCTTCCAAAGTGGCTGTACTATTTTGCATTTCCTCTGGCAATGAATGAGAGTTCCTGTTGCTCTACATCCTTGTCAGCATTTGCTGTGGACAGTTTTAACATTTTAGCCATCCTAGTAAGTGTGCGATGTGTAATGGTCTCTCATTGTTTTAATTTGCAATTCCCTAATGACATAATATTAAAAATCTTTTCATATGCTTACTAGTCACCTGGGAATCATCTCTGGTGTGGTGTTCAGATCTTTTGCCCATTTTGAAATTGGGTTGTTTCCATATTGTTGAGTTTTAAGAGTTCTTGGCTGGGCGCGGTGGCTCAGGCCTGTAATCCCAGCACTTTGGGAGGCCGAGGCGGGCAGATCACGAGGTCAGGAGATTGAGACTATCCTGACTACACGGTGAAACCCCGTCTCTACTAAAAATACAAAAAAACTAGCCGGGCGAGGTGGCGGGCGCCTTTAGTCCCAGCTACTCAGGAGACTGAGGCAGGAGAATGGCGTGAACCCGGGAGGCGGAGCTTGCAGTGAGCTGAGATTGCACCACCACGCTCCGGTCTGGGAGACAGAGCGAGACTCCGTCTCAAAAAAAAAAAAAAAAAAAAGAGTTCTTTGTGTATTTTTGAATACAAATCCTTTACCTGTGTTTTACAAATATTTCTCCCAGTCCTTGGCTTTTCATTCTCTCCACCGTGTTTTTCACTGACAAATTTTTTATTTTAATGAAGTCCAACTTACCAATTTTTTTCTTTCCTGGATTGAGGTTTTGATGTTGTATCTAAAAACTCATTGCCAAACCCAACAAAGTAAGTGGCTGGGACTACAACTCGGATTATGTTAAAGCTATAGATCAAGTTGGATGTTTTTCCTATGTTATCTTCTAGAGGTTTCATAGCTTTGTATTTTAAATTTAGGTCTGTCATCTATTTTGAGTTAACTTTTGTGAACAGTGTTAGGTCAGTATTTAGATTTTTTTTTGCATATGGATGTCCAATTGTTCCATCACTGTTTGTTGATAAGACTATCTTTTCTCCATTGAATTGACTTTACTGCCTTGTCAAAGATCAGCTGACTATATTTGTGTGGGTCTATTCCTGGGTTCTCTATTTGTTCCATTGGCCTATTTGTCTATTCTTTTGCCAGTACCACACTGTCTTGATTATTGTAGCTTGATAGTAAGTCTTGAAGTCAGCAGTGTTAATCCTCTGAATTTGTTTTTCGTAAGTATTGTGTTGGTTATTCTGGGTCTTTCTTCTTTTTCTCCATTTCTAACAAGAAGTTTATTTAAACAACAAGATGCTTGATTTGAAGGGAAAACTATTTAGGATTTTTTTTTTTTTTTTAAAGAGTAATTTATCCCTACTTACAGACAGATTGCCCTACATGTAAGAGCTATATACAAAAAAAGTTATAAAATTGTCCTTGGTTTTACAATTAATAAATGAAAAACACTAAAATTCTCCAGTTGAATAAGGTAGGCAAGGATTTTTGTTTTTTTGTTAAAATAGTGACAGCAAAATAACATTGCAATATAAGAGTTGAATGAGTATGCCACTGATGGAGAAAGGGAGGTAATTTTCAAGAATCAGTATTTTTCCTCACGGGTATGTTTTGACTGACATCAAGTGGATGTCAATGGCCATTTAATATTTAAGACAGCAAAATGCTTGTGAACATACACCCGTTATTTTATGTACAGTAAAGGAATAGGTAAGGGAAAAATAAAAGAATAGAGAAAACTATACTATAGTAATAGTCATGGTGTGGTGGAACCAAATTGCAGTTTTCTAATTGAGAATATAATCTTTATCTATAAGAACAAAGTTCTAGAGTAAAGAGGCAGGTTCCTTTTTCAGTAGATACTTCTTGTCTGTTGCTGAAACACATCAATTGTTATCTTCATCCTCCATTTCCAACTGTGCAGGTGTGTTTGTTTCATTGACTGGTTGCCTGTCAAACTAGAATCTGATCTGTCTCACTGACAAACTCTGTCCTTCACAACAGGCTTTCATTACTCTAGTAAGTGGTATATGACTCTTTTTTTTTCTTTTATGAGATGGTGTCTTGTTCTGTCACCCATGCTGGAGGGCAGTGGTGCGATCTTGGCTCACTGCAACCTCCGCCTCCCGGGTTCAAGCAATTCTCCTGCCTCAGCTTTCTGAGTAGCTGAGACTACCACCACGCCCGGCTATTTTTTTGTATTTTTAGTAGAGATGGGGTTTCACTATATTGGTCAGGCTGGTCTCGAACTCCAGACCTCAGGTGATCCACCCACCTCAGCCTCCCAAAGTGCTGGCATTACAGGCGTGAGCCACTACAACTCGGCCGGTATATGACTTTTAATCTTAAACTGCACCACAGAACCATCCTGTCCTATTACCTTCAAATTAATAAGATTGTTATTCTCAGTCTTGACTCCTTCCTTGGGCTTTTTAGCCACGTGAGTGCTGGAGTCTCCTCAGCTGCTGCTTCACAAATGAGGCACCAGGTCTGCACAGAATGAATGAGCACACAAACAGCACCAGGAGAAGCAGAAGAAGGTGGAACAGTGGAACTATTCTGGGTCTTCTATATTTTCATGTAAACTTTAGAATAATCAGTTGGTGATACTCACAAAATAACTTGCTGGGACTATGACCAGGATCATGTTGAAGCTAGAGATCAAGTTGGAAAGAACTGACATCCTAATATTGAGTTTTCCTATACGTGAACATGGACCATCTCTCCATTTACCTGATCTTCCTTGGTTTATCAGTTTTGTAGTTTTGCTCATACAAACCTTGTACATATGTTGTTAGATTTATTCCTAAGTACTTTTTTGGGGGGATGCTAATGAAGACTGAATAGGTTGAGGACAAGGTGCTATTCTGTATGACAATGTAATGGTGGATACAAGACATGCATTTGTCAAAACCCATAGAACTGTGCAACACAAAGAGTGAACCGTAATGTAAACTATGGACTTCAGTTACCATAATGTATCAATACTGGTTCATTAATTATAACAACGTACTAATGCAAGATGTTGATAATTGGGAAAATTGAGCTGGGGAAAGACAGGTATATGAAACTCATTATACTATCTGCTCAATTTTCTGTAAGCCTAAAACTGCTCTAGAAAGTAAAGGCTATTAATTTTTTAAAAAAATGGAGTACCAACTCCAAATGAAAAGGAGACCCTGGTGAAGTCTTTCAATGCCTCCCTTGCCTACAGGATCAAGTCTATGGTCTCTCACCAAGCACAGGAAATCCTTCACAATTTGACTGCCCCTCCAGTCCACCCTCTACCATCCAGCCAAATGGAGTCATTCAGGGCTCATGAAGGAACCTGGGACTCTGCACTACTCCCTGGTCTGGAACACTGTCCCTTCTTTGCCTAGTCTGGAAATGCCTTCAAGAAGCTTCTGCAGATGCTAATTTGGGTACACAAAGGAATAATACCAGCCCATAGTATCTGCTTTATAATACCACCTATGGTATTTCTGGCAGGACCTCTCAGTAGTTTCAGTAGTGAAACTACTGTTCCCATAGACTACACCACAGTTCCCAAACTGTGCATCAAGGCACCTGAGGGCACCCACAGCAAATTCACAGGGGGCAAAGTAGGATATTTTGAAAGATACTCAACATCTTTGGCTAATGAGTGAACTACTAGCTCAAGGTAGTTCACAGTTCCATTATTAGATTATGCCACAATCCTTTTGATTATGTCATCTTTAAGAAGCTGGGTCTTTAGTGGTTGCTGTGATAAAAAGCAAATGAAAGTCGATGTGGGACAGGAAATGAAGGTGGCAGTATCTGCTTTCATTAGAAAATTTAACAAGTTGTTCAGTGCCCAACGGGCGGCATAGATTCCGTTAGTAATTGCAGTTGTTTAAGAATGAAGGCCGGGTGCGGTGGCTCATGCCTGTAATCCCAGCACTTTGGGAGGCTGAGGCGGGCAGATCATCTGAGGTCAGGAGTTTGAGACCAGCCTGGCCAAGGTGGTGAAACCCCGTCTCTACTAAAAATACAAAAAATTAGCTGCGTGTGGTGGCAGGCGCCTGTAATCCCAGCTACTTGGGAGGCTGAGGCAGGAGAATTGCTTGAACCTGGGAGGCAGAGGTTGCAGTGAGCAGAGATCACGCTATTGCACTCCACCCTGGGGGACAAAAATGAAACTCTATCTCCAAAAAAATAAAAATAAAAAAAAAAAAAAAAAAAAAAAAAAAAAAAAAAAAAAAAAAAAAAAAAAAAAAGAATGAAACATTGTTTCTTCCAATTCAGATGTATTATTTTTTAAATGGCAACTAACTTGTTAGGACATAAATACTTTTTAAGTTATTTGGGCTTAACTACTTAATAAATTGAACTGTTAGGTATTTCTTTTGGCTTAGAGGCTCCATGAAAAAATTACTGAGATGGTAATGGTGCTGTGAGCTGAGAAAGTTCAGGAACCTGTAGTCTAAGGGATTATTTAATCCAGGGCACATCAAAAACTTGCATATGTGAAATCAATTTAGTGGGTTATAACCATATTTTTTTCCCTAACAAAACAGAAAGGTAAGCAGAGCACATTGCATGTAGCAAGGGTAAATATTATTGTGTAAAACTTTTGTTCATTTTATATATATATATACACACACACGCATATATATACAAGTAATCATGTGTATATTGGGTCACAATGTAAATTGGTTTGAAAAACCACTAAGATTCCAAGCCCCTTATTTTACTGACGAAAAAACAGCTGGAGAGTGAAAGCTGATGACTACAAATCACAGCCATGAGAGCTCGGCTCTGCACTCAGTCCTGCTGGGCGGGGTGGTCACTGCTCACAGTGACCCTTCAAGGCAGGATTCTGCCCAGTAGAGGTGTGGTTACTCAAAGTCATAGAGCTACAGAGGTGAGGGACCAGGTGCCCTCACTTTGGTTCCAATACCCATCTGCACCCCACAAATGCCACCAGCCACACCTAGAACAAAATGGTTTTAATCAATTGCGTCACCCTCACTCTCCTGGGAGCGGAGCAACAAAAAGGCTCGGCTCCTGCCCCCAGAGGACAGTAAGGCTTATGTGTCTCTCCACACTGCAGGGCCCAGGCTGGGCAGGCAGGGGGTGGGAAGCAGGACAGGAGGCAGGGAGGGAGGGTGGGAGGCAGGGAGGAAATGGCAGGTGGCTGGAACACAAGAAAGCAAAGGGGACCCAGCTGGTACTTGGGCCCCAGGGCCCAGTCCCAATACTCCTGCTCTCCCTTCTCCCTGGCTAGAGAAAGGTCACGGAGAAGAGACAGGGGAGCAGGGCCCAGCAGCAGGAGAAGCAGCAGCAGCTGTTTCCGTCACCAATAAATATACTTCATTACCAAGCTAGAAGAGAGGGATGGGAAGAGGGACTGGGGTGGGAAGGAAGGGGGAGAAGCTGCCACCTGTGTTGCTGGGATTAAAGCAATGAGATGGTGCCAGACCCCCCACCACTATCCTCACCCTCCCCTTGTCTTCTTAAAACTGTGAAAAAGCTTTTAACATGGCCCTCCTGTCTCCAGGGCTGCTCTGAAGCCTGAATGAGAGGAGGCACCTGGCAGAGACAGGGGCTGAGGAAGGGAGGGAGGGAGGAGAGGGAGAGGAGAAGGGAGGCTGCTTTTCCCCAGGGGCTGCAGCTGGAGGGCTGGAGCCAAGTAAGCACTGAGGGGAAGCAGGGAGGGAGAGAGGGGGAAGGATGAACCAACTACCTGGAGCAGCTGGAGCTAAGAGCCAGGGGGCAGAGGGGAGGGGAGGCCTGGTGAGTGGTGGGTTGATCGCTGCATCCAGTGTAAAGCTTGGGGCTGCTGGGGAGGGAGGGGCCGAGTAAGGGACTTTCCCATCTGAGTGGCTCAGGAGACCCACCCCTCTCCCCTCAGAGCAGCAGGGGACAGAGAAAAGCCATCACTTCTTTGGTCTTTGTGGCGGCTCAGCATGTGGGATGGGAAGGCGGGCAGAAAGGACAGAGAAGGGCCCTTAGCAGGAAGCGCCACCTCAGCAGAGTAGGCCTGGCTGGGAGCTCTGGCAGAAAGGTCACAGTGAGGCTGAGGAGCGCCCAAGAGGAGAACGGCCGTAGTGCAGAAGTGCTGGCATGGATGGGTGGGGTAAGGTGCAGTGCCCCACCCTCTGCCAGGGCCCTTGGGAAAGGCAGAGCCTCCAGAGGTGGCCAGTGAGAGTAGGTGCAGGGCCAGAGCTAGTAGCCAGGAGAGGAGTGAGGGTGCTCCACTGTGACCTCAGCAGGTAGCCTGGTCTTGCCCACTCCAGGGCTCCCGTCCTTCCTTTTGGTTCTGCTCTAACACTAGTGGCTCTGGGGGGAGGGTGGGACCCATCCTTTTTCAAAACCTTTCCTGAAGACCACAGGGGAGCTAGCCTTGCAGGCTTGGGAGCAAGAGTGGCAACAGGCCAAGGTGAGCCCTTACCAATTGGGAATCCCACTCCCCCTCCTGCTGCCAGCTGAAGGGCAGGACAGTCCCTGAAGACAGTTCAGCTTGTTCCTCCCCACCTGAGGCAGAAGGGATTCTGAGGCAGGCCAGAGCCCTCCAGGGACATGGAAGCAGGAGGTGGGGGGGGGGGCATATGGAGGGGTATACCCTCCTGCTCTTTTTTTTAGGGCTGGGGATAGTCAGGGGACAATCAGCCCAGAGTCTGAAAGCCAGCAAGTTATAGCAACCTCCACCCCTAATGCCAAACTAACAAACAAAACAGGGGAAATGAAAAAAAGTGGGGTGGGGAAGACAAACCAAAACAGAATCCCCCGACCTCCTGCCCAGGGCGGAGGGTCCAGCCAGCAGCAGGGGCTGGGGACCAGGGCTGGAGGGTCTAGCTGGGCCGGCACTGCACCTGGCCCTCAGAGCTGTCCTCATCATCAGAGGCCCCGGCACCTCCACTGCTCAGGCCCGTGATCCGGTAGCCCATGTTGAGCAGCATCACCTCCAACGGGTCTGCATTCATGCGCCGCTGGTTGGCCTGCGAAGCACCCTCCATATCTTCCACGACTCGGCCTGTGAGGTCTTCACTCTGTGGTGGAGAAAGGGGTAACACACATGAGGCTCAGGGAGGGAGAGGCACCAGGGTACACGTATGGGGCGGGGGAGGGAAATACACAGACTTAACTATCTATAGGGGGAGGTACACGTACGTGCCAGGAGGTGTACACACAACCGTGCTACATATTGTTGGGGGTGCTCACACTGGAATATATATGGGGAGACATGCCACCTCAGGATATATAGGCAGGTCATAACATGCTGGGATATACGTGGGGGACAGTACACACCAGGATATGTTGGACACACATACTGGGACACCTGGGACAAGGGGCAGACACAACTTCCCCACCCCACTCTGTTTTGTTGCCACAGCAACTCTTCCTTCATCTTTCTTTCTCCTCTCCCCTCAATGGGGAATCCTACAGGAGTCCTCTCTTTAAAAGTCACAGCAAATTATCTTGGGAATCAGACATACCACTTGACTTTTGTTTTGCCAGCTGGGAAGAGGGAAGCAGTAGGGCAGAGGGGAAGGGGAGGCACCAAGCCAGCTTCCCTGGCTACCCACCCTGGGAGTGGAGCAGACTACACTGTCCTAAGTGTCCTTGTGGGCTGGACACTTCACAGGCATCTCTTCTTTACTCCTCACTGCAACCTTTCAAGGTGATGCTGTCATTCCCATTCCCCATGTACAGATGATTAAAAGCCTGGGTCAGAGATGAAGTCTCTCAGGCAGTGAGGAGACTGGATTCAAACTTAGGCCTAACAGATGCCAAAGCCTGCATAGCTCCCTTGTGACCAGGGCCTCTGTACAGTTTCTAGGCAATTGCCACTGCATTTGGAGCTTCTGGAATCTGAGGACACAGCCTTGGGCCCCAAGATAAGAGATACTCAGCAGCTTCTAGCCTCTGGGTGGCTCATTTCTCTTCCCTGCGTTAGCAGGCTCCACTGGAGCCTTCCACAGAGTCCCTGCCCTCCTCTCTGCTTGGCTTTGGTCACCTTGACTGCACCCTCACCTCTGGTCGGGGGTTCCAGAGCCGCACAACAGGATCGATGCCGCTGGTGGCCAGGAAGCAGTAGCTGGGGTGTGGCTGCAGGCAGTTGACAATGGACTCATCCCCTTGGAGCACACGGACCAGGTTGGTGGTCTCCTTTTCCCAGATGAAGAAGGAGCCATCGTCAGAGCCACTGACGATATACTGAGCGTTGCTGGCGGGGGGGCAAAGGGTAGGGAGGTCAGGTGGGGTACTGCCCTATAGCCTCAAGCAGAGGCTGCATGGCCTAGGTAAAGGGGGAGCAAGGAAGTCTGCAGCCACTCAGTCCCCCACACGCTGGGGTGTGCACTTGACCCAGAACTCCACGTACATAGTCCTGGTCACTGTTCTCTTAAACCCAGGGCCAGCAACTGCCTGGATTTCTCCAAGACAGTCTCCCCCACAGTTCATTATTCCCTCCTTGGGCCAGGATCATCTTACATCATCTCTCGGGTCTCTAAAATACCCTGTTCTAAGCCTTCCCTGAGCAGTCCCAGGCTTCTGGTATCCAGAATCCCCATGTAGCCCCTCACACACCACTGACATTTAGAGGGCATCTGGATGGATTCTTTCTTTTCTTAGAGACAAGGTCTCGTTCTGTCACCCAGGCTGGAGTACAGTGGCATGATCATGGCTCACTGTGGCCTTAACTGGTCCTCCCATGTCAGCCTCCTGAATAGCTGGGACTACAGGTGCATGTCACCACACCCAGAAAATTTTAAAAACTTTTTGTAGAGATGGGGGTCTATGCTGTCCAGGCTGGTCTCAAACTCCTGGGCTCAAGCGATCCTCCCGCTTCAGCCTCCCCAAGTGCTGGGATTACAGGCATGAGCCACTGTGCCTTGCCTATAGAGAGATTATTGATTCATGTTCATGTGTCTCACCTACCCAAAGAAAGTACATCTACAAATGAGGGGTGGGGGTGATGGTGTCTGAAACACAGAGTTTGTCCCTTAGTACCCAGGGCACAGTTTTGAGCACAAAACAGATGTGCCAAGATCCCCAGCCTTGGAGGGCTGCTGCCTCACTCCCAAACAGAGGGAGGCTCCCTGAATGCAGATAAAGCAACCAAGCTCTGGCACATGCAGACAGAAGGAGAAGGAGGTGGGGGGTGAAGGAGTAGTCCAGGCACTGTACTGGAGGCTCTACTTGGATTATCTTATTAGTCCTTGTTATGGCCTCATAAGTGGGCATGGCAGGTTGGTCATCTCATAGATGAAAAAACTTCAGAGGCTGACAAAGGTGAAGCCATTTGCCCAAGGGTACAGAGGCAGAGCAGGGATTTGAGATTCTTCTCTAAAACCATTATGCCCCAATACTCCCCACTCAACCTCCTGCTGCCAACTGGGCTGCACCCTCCTCTTCAGGGCCTCGGACCTGCCAAAGAAATTGGCCTCCTTGATATCCGTGGTGGTGTTGCAGTGGCCGCAGTAGCGGAATTGATAGTCGTAGCTTCGCTCCCGCAGCACCATTTCATCCTCTGAGATGGAGTCCTTGCGGCTTGTGCTGCGGAGGCGGACTGGGGCGCCGCCACCAGGTCCCTTCTTCTCCTCTGGGGGCAGAGATCCAGAAAAGGTAAGCGTCCTGTTCCTTTCTCTGCTTCCCTATTTCCCCCCACCTATGGCTCTGTTTTCAGTCTAAAGTCTGACAACATAGAGCTACCTGCCTCCACCCTTATCCTGGAAAATTGGGGAAAGGTTGTGAGGAAGATGCATCTTTGGATCTAGCCCCTGAGGATGTTCACAAGGAGACCTTTGATGCTAGGAGGGCCTGAAAGCCCTAAGGATGCAGAGACTCAAAGTGTGTTTCTGTGGAGATGAGAGGCAGGGGAGGGTAGAGTGAGGCACTAGCAAAGAGAGAATGGTGACTTTTTTTTTTTTTTTTTTTTTTTTTGAGATGGAGTCTCGCTCTGTCACCCAGGCTGGAGTGCAGTGGCATGATCTCGGCTCACTGCAACCTCCACCTCAAGGGTTCAAGCGATTCTCCTGCCTCAGCCTCCTGAGTAGCTGGGATTACTACCAGGCATGTGCCACCACATCCAGCTAATTTTTGTATTTTTAGTAGAGATGGGGTTTCACCACGTTGGCCAGGCTGGTCTCGAACTCCTGACCTCAGGTGATCCACCTGCCTCTGCCTTCCAAAGTGCTGGGATTACAGACGTAAGCCACCGAGCCCAGCCTGGGTGACTTTTATAAACAGATTCGTAGCGCTTAGGGCAGTAAGGACCATGCCCTTACCCTCTGGAAGACAAGTTATTAGGGTTCCAAATGAGAGACACTGATCAGTTAAGTGACAGGTATTCACACAAGTTTTCTCAGTTCCTTAAAAGTGACTCACTCGTGCCTGCTTCAGGGCCTTGGAGCATCCTGGTCCATATGCCAGGAGCTCTGCCTCTCCCACGGCTACACTTTGTTGTTGTTGTTGTTGTTGTTGGAGATAGGATTTTGCTCTGTTACCCAGGCTGGAGTGCAGTGGTGTGATCATGGCTCACTGTAGCCTTGACCTCCTGGGCTCAAGTGATCCTCTTGCCTCAACTGCCCGAGGAGCCGGGACTACAGGTGTGTGCCACCATCCTTGGCTAATTTTTTTTTTTTTTTTTTTGAGACGAAGTCTCACTCTGTCGCCCAGGCTGGAGTACAGTGGCCGGACCTCAGTTCACTGCAAGCTCCACCTCCTGGGTTTACACCATTCTCCTGCCTCAGCCTCCCGAGTAGCTGGGACTACAGGCGCCCGCCACCTTGCCCGGCTAATTTTTTGTATTTTTTAGTAGAGATGGGGTTTCACCATGTTAGCCAGGATGGTCTCGATCTCCTGACCTCGTGATTCGCCCATCTCGGCCTCCCAAAGTGCTGGGATTACAAGTTTGAGCCACCACGCCCGGCTGGCTAATTTTTAAAATTTTTCTTTTGTTGAGATGGGATCTTGCTATGTTGTCCTGACTGATATTGAACTCCTGGGCTCAAGCGATTTTCCCATGTCGGCCTCCCAAAGTGCTGGGATTATAAGCGTGAGCCACTGCACTAGGCCACACAGCTATATTTTGTATCTAGTTAATGCTTCCTTTGGATCCTTTAGATCTTAGCTTAAATGTTTCTTCCTGAAGAACCCCAGAATGCCATCAAGCCCCCCCCCAACACACACACCATTCAGGCCCCATGGCACTTGTCATACTTTTTGTTTCTCCTTTATCACTTGGTTCCTTCACTAGACTGTACATGCCATAAACACAGAAATTCCATCTGACTTAGTCACAGCTCTATTCCCAGGACCCAGCACAGTGCCTGACACATGGCAAGTGTCTGATAACTATTCATTAAACAAATGAATTTATCACATGGTTGGTAAACTGCAAAGGAGAGAGGTGAAGATCCATGTCTGCCTCCTGTGAGCTCACCGTTCATGTTCACAGACCACACACCAATGGCCCAGTTCATTCTCCAGCACATTGAAGTGAGCTGGGCAGGGCTTCGTGCTCTTTGCGCAGGTAAGGCAGTAGGTAGAGAGGCTGTGCTTTCTCCAAAGCCACACAGTCACGTAGTGGAGCTGCATTTGGAACCAAGGCCCCACGTTCCAAGCCTGAGGCATTTCTACTGCTCTGCGCTATTGTCTCTGCTGCACTTGTACACTCGGAACAAACACAACGACCAGCTTCTGCTTCTCAGATGCCCAAGTGGAACCACCAGGGCCCTGTCTGAGCAGGTGAGGATGCCTAGTGGGAGCCTGACTGAGCTCAGCTTCCTCCTATTCTGGGCACCAGGCACTCCCCCAGGTGCTTTAAACATGCCATTTAAACATGCTGATCCTCAATAGAAACGCTCAGTGGGAGGTGCTGGCATGTCTCCGTCCTTTTCAGACAAGGAAACACTCTCAGAGAGAGACCAAGTAACTGCCCCAAGGTTGCATGGTTTCTGAATCAACATCTGAACCCAGGCCTCTCCAATCCCGGAACCATGACCTCTCCAGAATGTCATGCAGCATCTCAAAGAGAAAGAGTAACAGCACCCCCTCCTCAGTGCCCACTCACCACCATCATTTTTGGAGAAGAGGGCAGCTGTGATGTCACGACCCAATGCATCACAAGCGCTGCTGTGGGCCTGCTCCGGAAATTTCCCTTTGAAGTCGTCCAGGCACTCCAGGGCTTCAGCCACATACTTGAGCTCAAAGAGGCAGCGGGCCAGGCGAAAGTGTGCCTTCAGGTGGCATGGGTTTAGGGAGATGGCCTTGAGGCAGTCCCTCAGGGCATCATAGTGGTCACCATCCCTGGGAAGGTGGGGAAGAGTGGCTTAGAGGGAGCCACGTGGCAAGCAAGGGGCCCCCACTCAGTCTCCTCTACTTCCTGTGGCCACCCCAGCCCACCACTGACAGATCTATCTCATGGCAAGGGGACTTGAGGACGAAGAGAATCCTGGCTCAGCCCAGGCCTCCCCCATCAGGAGACAGTATGGTTAAGGAGCAAGCCAGGAAACCCTGAGGTCTTGAGGGTGGCAAAAGCTGGTGTCAGGCTGCCCTCTGCTGGGCACAGCGTGCAACTGCACACTGGCTCACCCCAGGCACCCGCAGCTCTGCAGCAGAAGGCCTGGCATCTTGCCCACCACAGGCTCCCCAAGCCCTCCTTCTCTCTTCCCCCATCCACCTCCTCAAATCACCCCCAGCTGGCCTTCAAAGCCATGTCCAAGGCAGGGGGCCCTCAAGGACAGTTCTGTGGTCTGGGGAAGCCAGAAGTGCCAGGCTGGGGACGCAGGGTCTGATCAGCAGGCAGCAAGCCCTCAGCCAGACCCCCCTCTGTCCTGGCTGACTGATCCACAGCAGCTGTGGCCTCTACCTCCTGGGGCTGGAGGATGGGGCCTGACAGTCTGGCAGAGTCGGCTCTCTGGAAGCTGATGGTAAGGGGGGTTGTGCACACCAGGAGCTCCAAATCGTCCCCACTCACTTCTCCAACCTCCTGAAGCATGGATGAAGGGAAGTGGGAGTGCTTTTAGTGGGGAAGTGGGGAAAGAGGAAGTGAAAGGAGGTCAGAGAAGCCCCTCCTTTTCCCACCCTGTGCCAGAATATAGGAAGCACACTCCCCCAGCACCCACAGACCTGTCTTTGCCTCTTGTCTGGAGAGCCAGACGGGCCCTACAGGAGCTGCTTCTTTGGAAGCCATTTTTTTTTTTTTTCCAACTGGGCTGGGGTAGGCCTACGACTCAACTGTGCCAAGCACCAGTAAGAGACACCCCCTAGAGTTAATGGCCCCTTCTCCAAGGGCACAGCTCACAACAATCCGGCATGGCTAAGGCAGGTCTGACATGGGAAGGTCCTTCCCGAGCCTCCTTCTGCAGCACTCAGAGGGAGCACCCAGTCCTTGAAGCAGCCACGCTCAGACCAGCAACCAGCAGCTCAGCCCATGTGGGGGCAGGCAGGAAACAGAGCTGCTTCAATGGTGTGGCCTGCGTCAGGATGAGTGGCTGTGACGAAGGAGCAGGCACTGTGTGGAAACCCAATTACTGCCTGCAAGGTGCCCCTCTGAGCTCCTGGGGAGAGCCAGACCAGAGACCAGCCAGGAGCCAGAGGGTGACAGCTCCCACTGCATCCAGGAGCAGATGGCAGCCCTGGGGAGACTGGCCTAGGACAGAGTGTGACATTCTAGGGGTCACTGGCAGGCATGTGGGGATGGGGGTAGAGAGCAGGCTGGCCCCAGGGCTCACCCTTCCTAGACTCATTGCCAGATCAATCTCCCTGAAAGGACAGCCCTCGGCACATCCCTCTCCTGCTCAGAACTCTCCAGTAGCTGCCCATCATGCACTGAATCGAGGCCAACGTCACCGCTCTGCATTCCAAGCCCTCCCTAGGCCGGCCCCAGGCTACCTCACAGACTCATCTCCTGCCAGTCCCTCTCCGAACCCTCTGCTCCAGCCAAATGGATTTGCTGTTCTGCAAACAAGCTCTTCAGTCAGTCCCCCACCCCCACGCCTTTGTTCACACCATTTCATCTCCCTGGAATGTCCTTCCCCCACAGGCCCCTCCTCTCCTTCATCTCCTGTCTAAGCCTGCCTACACTTAAAGCCCATTCAGACGCCATGTCTCTCTGATGCTTCCCTGCTCCCCAGCTAAAGCGACCCAACTTTTCTTGATGCCCACAGCCCTTTACCTGACCATTTACAAGACTCACTGCTTTCTATCTCTTTAATGCTGAAGTATGTCCACTACTTTACCCACTGTCTGGCGGCTCCTCTGGAGCACAGGAACTTTGTGTTCCTAGTACCTAGCACATAGTAGGAGCTCAGAGAACATGCTGAGGGCACATATGGATTGGGACAACACCAACCTCACTTAGCAAGAATGCAGGAGTGAAGCTGAGCTCTCAGCCTACAGCTTAGATGAGGACCACTGAGTTCTACCCAACTGTTGGACAGAGAGGTGAATCGACTCAGGATTCACCCAAAACAGTCATCTCCTGCGTTTGGCTGCCACTTGAGCCCTTGGCCAACTCCTGATGCCTCAGCTAAGGCTGGGGGATAGCATCTTCCCCACTCCTACCTAGCACTACCATCCTGCTGACTTGGGTGGGTTTCTTAAGCTTCCCTCTCTGGCCTGCCTAGTTGCAGCCAGACGATGGCACACCAGCTGGCCTGTCTGTCTGGGCAGAGCCGACGGATGCCAGACGGAGCAGAAATGGCTGTGGGCCCAGCTCTATCCATCTCTAGTCCTGGCCCTGGCTGGGGGATGGGGGGCGGGGTCTGCATGTCTGCTTGCCTGCTGGTGCTGCAGGCAGAAGGGCTGGGGGCCCTGATGGTCTCCAAAGATGAGGAGTTCTTTCGGATATGGTCTACTTCTTTATTACCAGCCACCATACCCTAGCGTGACCCATAGCCAGCTTTGGATTTCTGGGATATGGTTTGTACTCAGTCCAAAGGGTCTAAGAACACAGAAAGCAAGCCTTGGGGGGGGCCAAGGGACTGCAGAATATTTTAGACACATACCAACTGAATTCACCAAACCCCTCATTTCCACTTAGCAAGATTCCACTGCTCTTCAAAGTCCAGTTCTCCAACAGTTGGAACTAACAATCCTCAACTCCTACTTCCCCAGGGGCCACAGCACTTTATAATAATATGCCATGTAGGAACTAGCTTTGAACATGTTCCACATAACTGTGAGCTTCTTTACTGCTTGATTGGCGCCTGCCCACCATTAGCCTGGAGGTGGGGAGGAGAGGCCAAGAAGCCCTAAGAGGCAGCAATATGTTCCTGCCACCTTCCCTGGATGCCGTGGCAACTTGGCTCCATCAGGCCTCTGCCTTTTGGTCCAGTTGCTTTGTCCCTCATCCTGACCCAGATCCCCTCTGCAGTGGCCACTCACCACTTGCGCTTCATGTAGGCTGCTGCTCGGTTTCCATAAAGCATGGCATTGTGAGGGGCCCTCTGTACAGCCTTGCTGTAAAGCTGAATGGCTTGGGTCCACTGCTGGCAGGCAAAAGCCTCATTGGCTTGCTGTTTCACACGCTCCAGGTATGGCGGTAGCTCTACTTGGGGGCTGCAGGGGAAACAGAGCCAAGTCAGAACAGTCAAAGAAGGTCAGAGCAGCCCCTCAGGAAGTCTGTAACACAGCCTGAGGGTCACCCAGGTTTTCTTGGCTCCTGGGATCTGACTGCTTTCTGGAAGAGGGGACCACTACCCTGGCCTGGGCTATTACCTATCACCATGATAGGGAACAGACACCATTCCAAATACTCTCAGTCAGTGAAAAGAGGAAGGGCAGAAATGAAGCTGTACTTAAACTCCTGGGCATGGCAGTAGCTGACACCACCTGCCTCCATACTGAGCTGAACTTTATGACCACCCGAGTCCCTCCTATGGATCACTGTCTAAAGAAGTCTATTTCTCTCAAGGCTAGGGAATTTGAGCACCTCTGTATCCAAAGCCTAGCACAAGGCCTGGCAGAGAAAAGAGGCAAGGATATGCTATAGGATGGGGAATAATATAATGGGGAGGCCCATTTGTATGCAGCCCCTTTTTGGAGACAGCTCAGTGCCAAGAGGCAGCTAGCCCCTGGGTCCTGACTCCAGTTACTGGTACCAACAGGCTAGAGCTACAGTCTGACTAGGACTAGTGTCCTGCCAGGCAGAGGGGCACTGGAAACACTAGCCACCCTCCAAGAAGCCTCTTTGCCTTGGTCCTCACTCTCTGGGATGCATGAGTGGGTGTGGGTCAGGAGGAAAATTTACAGGTTATGTCCCTCCCTCCAGTACATATAGTGTAACTGGGGCTTGGAGGGTTAGACAAGCCAGCCGGCCTCACCTGACATGTCCCCTACTCTCCGGCAGCCGGAAGCCATTGCTATGAAGGTGCAGGCCATTGGACACACCGTTGGATACACCGTTGGTGGACATCTTGCCATTCTGGACTTCTGGCAGGAGATAGTGAGAAAGTGACAGCAACAACTCAGGAAGAGGACCCATTTCTTCCTGGCAGCCCTCCAGCTTCCATCACAGGGTCTGATGGTTCCATCGTGGGACTACTCTCTCAGAGTAAGATCCATTCCCAGAAAGCAAGTTCTGACATAAAGAAAAGCCCGTGCGCCCTCTGCTGGCTGGCGAGAGACACAACTTCACTGTGGCATTACTCAGCTAGGGCTCCGGCTAGGGCTGGGGCAGGGGCTGGGGCTGGGGCTGGGGGTGGGAATGGAGGGAGGATGTGCCTAAATCAACTGCAGGCCCCAGGAAGAAATCAATGAGAACACTGGGCC